ATAGACCTCCATTATTTGAATGTCAGCAGACAGCAAGAAGCCTCCCAGATCTCCAGATGCATTTGAGATATCAAAAAGTACTCCAGAGTGTTGTTCAGCATGGGGGTGAGTAGAAAATGAAGGCTAATCATGTTTTGGGTGTACTATTCCTTTAATCTCAATATCCATGTGATAAGTTAATTTTTTTTATGTTAGATAAGAAACAAGGGACTATTATGTGCTAGATTTCATGATTAAATGTGTCTTTAAAGGGTCTTGTCACATTATATGCCTTTACAATACTGATCAAAAATGATTTGATCATGACAGAATAAGGCTATAAAATTTAAATAAAGTTGCTAGTATCGGTATTCATACTCATTAATCCACAAGTTCTGCATGAACAACTAACTTCAGTTCTAACTTCTGCTTCTGAGAACACTAACATTCATGCTGTATTCCTTCCTACAAATTCCTATTCTACCGTAAATGTCTTCAAATTCAGATTTCTACCCCTAAACTTTTTAGCGTAATGTCTGTTCAAACTTACACCTAACAGTTGGTGTAGATTTTTTTTTTTAAACTAACCCAAACTAGTATAAAAACATTGATGCGGGGGTTTCACACTAGAAAACGAAAAAATGAGTCTGAAAAGTGTGGCATGTTTCATATGTTTTTAGCGCCTTTTATGCTGATATAGCAAACATAAAATCTCTTGCAACCAACTTCCCTCACAGGTCATTTTAGTAAAGTACCTTGTGGGTGATAAACACATCTGTTGCTGGAAGGCCACTGAGTTTATTAGTCATTAGAGACAATTTGTTAATAACAATCAAGGACAATGTCATGGAGAAGTTTCAAGTTAGAGCTTTGGACATCTCACAGAACACTGCTCAATCCATTATCCCCCAGACAGGAAAGAGTTTGTCACAAAGGCATAAATATCCAGATAGGATCGTCCAAGATGACACTATGGGCAGCAATAGCATTAATCACAGATGCCCATGAGGCCTATATTAAATATGGTGCTGTAAAAAGCCAAGAATATAACCAGGCTCCTATGATGGTGACCTGGCTCCATCTAATAATCCTGCTTTTGTTTTATTTTCAGCCTTTACCTTTGCCCAGAATCTGTTGCTTTGAATGAGGTTAACTGTCATTGGGAAGCAAAAGCAAGGAAGATTTAAAAAGAGGCTCATGCATAAACATGACTTGGTAAATCTGACAGACTGAAGCCATATGGATTTTTTTCCCCTTAAGTTTTAGTTGAAAATCATCAGATATTTTTCATTATGTGCCAAATGTTTCTGGATGACTTGCTTGGATGATGTCCATCCGCATGGCTTCATCCTTTTCTCATGCAGAAAATGATTCCCAGGGGAACATAAAAATGTGATTATCAGACTTCAAAGTGGCTTCAGGAAAGAAGCTTGCAACTCCAGTAAAAAAAAAATAAAAATAAAAAAAATGGCAGGGGCGCTGCGTCTAAAATATGGTGGTCTGTTAAGTCTTTACATATCATGGATCTCAATATCTGGTTGGTAAATAGTTTCGGTATGGTTACATTTATTAAAATATTCTTTATGGAAAATTTGAGCTTTATCGTTAATGGACAAAAAAATAAAATGCATCTTCCTCCCAAAATGTTTGAGTAAATATAACGATTGGAGGCAGCATGGATGGATGGTTGATGGAAGCACAATCTTTAACATCCATCTATTCTAATTGCAAAGAGTTCAGATCATGCCTGTTCTGAATTTGGCCAAGAATGTTTGATCAAAGTGCTAAGTGATTCCTTCTATTTATAGGTTTGACTTGAAAAAATTGTAGATTCAGGATGATAAAAAGTTTATAATAACAACTCTAAGTTATAGTACTCATTTTTTATTTTTTTTATTTGCCAGCTGCATAACTTTATGATTAAAACAGAAAATTTTTGGGGGCGGACAATAAAACTAATGCAACCAAATTCTAACCGCCAAAAAAAATCTAAGTTTATCTTTCAAAATAAAGATAAACATTCTGAATGTAGAAGAAAGTAATAAAGCTGCTTGAAAAAGTAGTAATGATCCTAAAATATTCCAAATCTATTTTTTTTATTTGGATTTATGTAATAAACCAATTTGCAAAAAAGTGTTTAATTTTTCAATAATCTATATTTATATTTTACAGTAGCTCTGTATTTAATGTGCTCTTTTACCGTTTATCAGATTAGGTTTAAAAATTGAATCATTTAACAGAACTGTACAAAAATGCGATATAAAGACTTTTGCAAAGGACTGTATACCATTAGTATCTGCAAAGGGTTCTCTCACTTGGTTGGTTCAAATGTTACACACTGTTTAATGCTGGGTGATGACTTTCCATTTGATATATGGTGCATCTGCAGCTCACTCTAGATTACCTGCAGGCTGTGTGCCTGCTGTGTAGGAACTGAGCCGTCCTCTTGCCTTAGAGCGTTAACAGCTCTAATAAGGTCCATCTGTTCAATGCCTCAGCGTCTCTCACCTTTTTTCCTCCTGTACAGCGTGGCCTTTTTATGACTGATGGCATATTTGTACCAAAGAACTGTTTGGTGCCTGCAAGGCATGAATTAAGGACTCTTCAACACAGTAAAATTTTTCTACCTGAGTTGGTTCTCCACACGTCTGCACTGGGTTCGCTCATGAGGTTGGAAGGTTATAATAGTATATTATAGCATATTATAATAGCATATTTGCACTTTTAAAAACATCACTTTTCTTAATTCTGTCTTTTTCTTTGGTAATAAAAGTTCTTTTTTTTTTTTAAAAAAACAAAGAATCAGCTAGACGTTATCAGTTGATGTGGTAAAATTTTTTATCTTTTATAGGTATTATATGTTGGAGAACAAACCTAGGAACGCTTATGGGATGGTTTGCCACTCCTGCCAGAATGCACCGAGCAACACAAAAGAATGTAAGATTTACTTTTCTTTCTTTTCCATTTTTTTTGTGTCTATGACAACAAATTTACCACCATAATCTATCAGGCATGTTTTTTTTTTATATGCAATAAATTGAAGAACAAATATGTCTTCATAAGATCTACTGAATGTGATGCTCTTTTCCATCGTGGAAAGAAAATAAACTGAACAGCTTATGTAAAAGGCAGATGTTCAGCTCCTGGATTGTGGTGGGGGGTTGCAATTTTCACTGAGCCACATAGACCCTGTAGTCACAATTCTATCTTTTGGGTGAGCTTTAATGTCAAAGCCCAGAGTTTTTAGACCTACTTCCCTTCTAGTTCTGTTGTTTTTCTAGTTCTTTCCTCATAAGTGTTTTGCAGCTCATTGATTGAACATCGCTGTCACACCAATTATTAAAAATTCCTCTGCACTGTCAGCACATGGATTGATGCATATGTCCATGACTGCAAATCCAGCTCAAACACTGTTGCAGGTTTTGAAAGGAAGTTGCACTCACTTGCAAAAAGCTTCCAAGATGGAATTATTTTTCCTTGACTTCTCAACAAATCTTCATTTCCATTAGTAGTTTATGACCATTTTCCACTTACATAACATTTTACCAGTTCATTACACTGCCTTCTGTAGGTTAGATTGTGTCTATAAACTTTTTATTGTAATGTTTGGTAAAATCTTCACGTTTTTCCACTTATTCATTTATTTTATGAACAGTTTAAGATCATGTTATGTTACGAGTCCAAATGTGAGTTTGATTCATTTGGATTTTGTATCCTAGATGAACAAGTTGTTCTTCAATTGCATGGTGGAAGAAAAGTCAACCTTATAGAAATAAATTCTCATTGGTCCCATGAATGTACACTAAGCAATTGCAGCAGCGGAAATGTTGCACACATAGAGACTGTAATTCCCTGCCCCTCTCTACAAAAAGTAGTTTAAGCAATCTGATGAGCTTTGTTGGTGGCTCCAAAGATGTTCCTTAAGGATTGTGTGTTACTTAACTACATTCTTTTTTCCAAATATCTCTTATTAGCTTACCAAAGAGAAATACCCCCTCGGCATTATAGTGCCACCACCATGTTTCACTTTTAAGTGTGCACTGTATGTCATCCATTCAAGAGTTTTGCATATAGAACTAAAAAAGTGCAACTAGAGCTCACATGTTTACATTTTTTATGTCCTCTGCACTGCTGGTTGCAAACATAAGACATTAATTCCTGTTGCATTTTTAATACTATTGTTTTTTTTTCCTCATCTGTCTTTCAACAAAAGAAAGACTTAAAGAATCCACAATAAACAGCTCTGCAACCAGCTTCCCTAAAGAAATAGCTGTTCTCTTGGCTGCTTTTATGATAAGATAACATTATACACATTTAAACATGCTTTCTTAATTAAATAAATGCTGAAGACATATAAATGGATTAATTTAAGGGCATTGGAAAAATAATCTTTATGTTAAAGTTGCTTAAAAGCACATTTTATTTCTACTTTGAGTATCTGTAGTTTAAATTCCTTTTTTCAAGGAAAGTCCGAGTACAATACATTAAAGTTTTTGATTACAAATGGGTGAGCATTTCAAAACTTCTTCTGCTGAGTAAGATTGTTTCCAATGAGAAAAAGTATTCGGTAGTTGCATTATTCTTCTACCCTCCCTGTTTGTTATCCTGTTTACACGTATGCAAAATCCAAATTAATCATGTGTTTAAGCAGCACATTTTTTTGACGTTTGCTTTTTTTTTTCAAATTGTTTTGGCAATTATATTTATGGACTTGCAATTGCTCAAAATCCCCCCAAAGTGTAATTAAAGAATCCGGAAATTACTGTGTTGTTATTGTGTCATATTTAATTAGTGTGTTTTGAAAGATGTAGACCCCAAAAAGTGGCCTGAGCCTGCAGAGAAGGAGGGTTTGAAGCAGCAGCAGCAGAGCTGAGGGACAAATGAATAATGTCTATAAATATTATTTCAATCACACACCAGCTGCGTGTAAATTTATGAGGCAGATAAACCAAAGTTACAGAGTTCAGTATTTCATTAAATGATATAAGTAAGGCTTTAACTATTTCTTGCTGAAAAACAGTTTTCTTCCAAAGTAAAATCCTTTTAACAGAATTCATAGTCAGTTTCCCTAAAAAGAGAATACAGAAATGTCTGAGATCTGAGTTTTATTTTCTTTGGGTGATGGCAGGCTGACACTTGCCATGTAATCTGCAAATTACCCTGGCTCCTACCTAGGATTGCTTGTGTGCTAATTAAAATTGGGTGGTTATGAGGAAGACGGATGATTAGCATGTTTGTGCTTGCCGTAATGCTACTCTTTGGCAGGTTGTGATATAAAGCTGTAGGCACAGCTCGTTTTCCTCGTTCTCCTTCCGATTTCTATAAGCTTTCAACATCCGAATCTGTAGCTTAATGCACATAAATGAGGCATTCGTTTCAAACAGAGAGACTTATTCCAAGTGGGGTCATGAGGGGTGCAGGTGCCTATCTCCAGCTGTCTACGGGTGAGACGCGGGGTAATCCCTGGACAGGTCGCCAGTCCATCGCAGCAAACAGAGACTCATTACACAAATTTAACTAATGTTTTTTTACTAGCTGAAAAACTCAGAAACTCTTAACTTTAACATTAAAGCTGCACTATGCATTGGTTACAGGAATTAAATGACAGAGATGTAACTTATTATACAAGAGTATGTTTTTTATTGTAATCTACATACAAAGTCTTAATCTTTTTGTTTTGTGTCCTTATAAATTGTCATTTATTATATATATAAGTTGCGCATTTATGGAGGCAGACTTCTTTGCGCTATGGCAGCGCAGAGCTGACAAACAAGTAACTGTAGAGATCACCATTAGGCTCAAATGGGACTACAGCAATTAAGGCTTATATAAAATCTATATATTTATAATGATAAAATACTTTTTTATAAAATTATATATGCAAACAAACCTTGTCATCATGTGAAAAGAAATGTGATGCAATGCAAGTCATTTTGTACCATGACAGCCTCCCTATTGTTGGAGGGGCTGAATAGGTGTCAGAAGCGGTTCATGTTGCAGCAGTCTAACCATTAGATGTCTCTGAAAATCCCACACTGTAGCTTTCAGGTAATGCAAAGACTAAAGCTCATCTTTGAGTTCATATAAAAGGTTTAATGGTGATTCTACACGGAAGTCACCATTGGTGAAAAAAAAACTAGGTCATGACAACACTTTATATTAGAGTGTTTTGCAGCAGTTGTGCAAAATAAACCTCATTATTAGTTTTTGTTTAACTTGTGAAGATAAAACTGCGTTATGTTGACGTAGCTGTCAAACCGTTACATCAAGGACACCATGTGTTGCACCACTCAAACTCTATCAATCCATCTGCAGTCACTTTTCCAATAACAACATGCTGTTTGACCCTAAAAAGTCACTCCAAAGTAATGCTGCACACATGTGGCAGATGGAAAGGAAGTTTTCAGCTTAGGGGAAATGTTCTCTCTATATTGCTGCAAAAACAAATTAGTTTGGCTAAGCATCCAGTCAAAACCCTGGTAAAAGAAACCTGATCAACTCTATGCTCCAAAAACAACTCCTTTGGTCGTCTCATTGTTCTGTCTTATCACTCCTTGATTAAGCGATTGGTTTTAACCATGGCGTAAACTAAGCCGTGTGCTTAAGCCTCAGCCAAGAATTTAGTTGTTAAATAATCCTGGGGCAAAACCTGTTTCCAATGGACAGACTGTCTTTAGTCAGAGTTCAGAAATGCAACATGGCACAGAGCCTTGCCATGTTTCCTGAGTAGATATTTGTTGGAAAAGTCCTTAGTACATCCCTTTTCAGTCTCACCAATAAGTGGCCACACTTTCCTTTGACATATTTACATCCTGAATTTAAAAGAACCTTAAAGACTGGAGTGGTTTTGAAAGACTATGAAGAAGAGGTGGGCTTGAAAATGGCCTTAAAGTAAAGAGAAAGAAAAAAAAATAGGCCTGTATGATATATAAAGTGCCCTGCGATGGACTGGCGACCTGTCCAGGGTGTACCCCGCCTCTCGCCCATTGACAGCTGGCTGACTCCAATTGGGACAAGCATGACAGATGATGATGGATGGATATATAAAGTAAGGCCGTTCCATAATGTTGACTTACAAAATCAAAACCACGGACCACTCGAAGCATTTAGGAGCAGCTAATCAGCTGATATGAGGTTGAGGTAGAGTATGTAGGGTTGCAGTAACTTCGGCAGGTCGGTTGATGTAAGGCCATTAATACATTTAACAGCAAATTAAACTATTTCAAAATGAAACCCTAAAGTTTATTGGCAGCCAGTGTAGGGATTCTAACAATAAAGGTGTTTGAACTAGTTAAAGGATGTGAAGCATCACTCTGTACCCTCTGAAGCTGTGAGACACAGGAACCCCTAATTTCCTCACCAAGTGGTTTACAGTATTCAAACTCAATGGTAATAAAGGCATTAAACTTTTTAAGTTTTATTTTCAGACTTATATGTAGTATTCTCTTTCACCTCCTACATTTGATATGTTTGTCTTCATGTTCAGGGCCTGGTGACATTTGGCACTTCTATAAACCAACCTCTCTTTTTTTATCATTGAACTAAAATAGATTCAGATCCATCCATGCTTTTTATGTCATCTATACATCAAAGTAGCAGACTCAGACGGTGAAAGTTTGTTTTTTATGGCAGGCCATACAGCTGGGTATTATCCAAGAACAATGAAAAGAGATCCTGTATCTTCTGAAAAATCCAGGCGAGAGAAGCAAGTAAAGCGTGAATATCATGTCTTGCGTGGGATCTTATCTTAAAACGTCAGCTTTAGAAAGAGATACCTCAAGACAGAGCTACAACATACGGAAGTTAGTTCTATCTTTGAAGGCTTTGATTTATTCAAATTTCATATTTTGAAAACTTGTCTCAGGTTTTCTGGCTCTAAATAGTATATTTCCTTTAACTTTTTTTTTTTTACTATTTCCTTCAGTCCTACTGAGTTG